GGGCCTCAAGTGAAGGTAAGGGCCTCTAGCGAAGGTGAGAGCCTCAGGTAAAGGTGAGGGTCTCAGGTGGTGGTCCGGCGAAGCTCCGGTGGTGGTCCGGCGAGGCTCCAGCGGTGGTCTGACGAGGCTCCAGCGGTTGTCCGGTGAGACTCCTCGGTGGTCCGACGAGGTTCCGGCGAAGTTCCGACGGTGGTCGAGGAGGAGCTTCTTCCTTCTCTTTCTTCTTTTCTCCTCTTCTCCTATTGCTTCGGTCCCCCTTTCAAGAGAAATGAGGGGTCTATTTATAGATTTCTGGAGTGGCATGGCCCTTAAATAGGTGAGAGATCAGGGGTAAATGGGGAGTGGTTTGATGGACGATCGATATTGAACCCCTTGATCATGGACCGTTTGTCACGCATTTGGAGGCCTTAATGATTTTGGAATTCAAGGATCTTGGGCTCGTTGGATTCACCTCGTCGAGCCGCTCGATTCGAGTATAAGCTCGTTAAAATCGGAGACCGTTTGATAACTCAAATTGTGGTTTGAACCTTCCAATAGCGCTTCGGGTCCTTGATTTGGACCCATTTGGGCTCGGATTGAGTCGAATTAGGTGTCGTTGGGTTCGTATTTCCGAGACGCTCAGTTCGACTATAAGTTTGCTGAAATCAGAGTTCGGATGCTCCCAATTTTAATTTTGGAAGATTCCAATTTGATTTTGCATCGAGATTTGTGCATGATCAAGATAATTTTTGGAGGACGTATCAAATATATAATGAGTTATAATTTAAATATAAAAAATAACAGTTTTAACAACTCTTTCTGCCTAGCCAAGTGGCTAAGGCATGTGGGGTTGTTGGATGGGCTATGGTGTTGTTGCGGGCGGGCTGGCGAGCTTGTAGTAATTTGCGGCGAAAATTCATTCGCAAATCCGCCGTAAAATACAACAAGAACCTCGTATTTGAAGTTCAAAATATGCTGCTAAATATTTGCAACGGATTCTCTCCGATGCAAATATTTTTCCGACACAACTTTTAGCTCCGGAATATCCACCACAAAGCATATTTTAGTGGCGAATGTTGCTTGTTTTGCGGCAGATTTGTTTCCCGGAAAATGCTTACTTTCCTATAGTGAAAATAAGTTGTTTTGATTCTTTTTTTGTACATCCATGACTTGATATTCACCTAAACCATTCCAAATATATTTAGAGAGTTAAACAAGCAATGATACAAGAGTTTGAGTTTATTGGTATTAAGCTCATGGCATTAAAGTCAACGAAATAAAAAAAAAATAGAACTTTAATCCCTCAAGAAGGTTATGTAAGAAAAAATCATGAAGAATTTTAAGATGGACAATTATAGACCCATAAATACTTTTATAGAATGTGGAGCCAAGCTATCAAAGTACGATGAATGAGAAAAAGTTGATCTAATATTTTTCTAGAGACTGGTTGGGAGTTTGTGCTACCTAACGTGCACAAGGCTTGAAATTTTTTATGATATTGGACTTATCAACAACTATATGGAAACTCCAACTACTACCCGCTTAAAGATTGTTAAAAGTATTAATCCTACACTATATTAAAATTACAATAAACTTTAGCTTGCTCTATTCATTATCTAATGATTTCAAGCTTGTACGATATAGTGACAGTGATTGCATCAGAGACATAAATGATATAAAGAACATCATTAGATTTGTATTCTTTATTGCTAACACCCCCTTCACTTGCATTTCAAAAAAATAATAATAATAATTGTCACCTTTTTTGGTTGTGAAGTAAAGTATATGACAACAAATTCATGTGTTTGTCGTATAATTTTGCTTTAAAATTTATTAAAATAATTAAACTTATCATAAAAAGAAGCAATGAAGATTCATATTGATAACTAGTTTATAATAGCACTTCAGTTTTTCATCATAAAAGCAAACACAATTATATAAGCTATCACTACTTCAGTTAATACATCAAATGAACAAAGTGCAAGTGGTGTATACCAAATTTCTTGCAAATATAACAACGAACATGAGATTTTTTGTACCTTTGATATTTTGGCTCTTTCTTCCACTCTTCATTTCTTGAGTTTTGATTTTCTTCATTATTTTTTTGATATCCTCTGCGTCCTCGTCCACTTCCTCGGCCTCTTCCAAAGCCACGACCACGAATTATCTTCATTTTTTGTGTCGTCTTTATCACCTTTTAATGAGAGCTTTGATTGAAGAACTTGTTCAATAATATCCTGTTTTTTCTTATTTTTTCTTTGCTCATAAGCCATCAAAGAGCTCATTAGTTCATCAACGGTCATTGTCTCTAAATCTTTAGCTTCCTCAATAGCTACGACAATATGCTCAAATTTATCATTTACCAAGCGTAGAATTTTTTCTATCACTCGAATATCTTCTAATGCTTCTCCATACCTTCGTAGTTGATTGACGATAGTCAGAACTCTTGTGAAATAGTCCTCCACATTTTCTGCTTCCTTCATTTGAAGTGCCTCAAATTCGGCTCGGAGAGTTTGAAGTCGAATCTTCTTTATCTTGTCTATGCCTTTGTATGCAACTTGAAGTATCTCCCATGCTTGCTTATTAATTATTAATTTAATAACTTATTTTCTTTAATTATTAATATTAATATTTTAATTAAATTAATTTTAATTTTTAATTTTTGTATAATTAGAATTTAAATATAAAAGAGTAATCCTTATAACATATTTTCTTTTCCATCAAAGTGGTTGTGAGTTTGAAGTTTTTTCAAGTTGTGGTTCGAATCCCTCGGGCATCACACTGTATGTAGCTACCGTGGGTAGGCAGACGGTGTTCGGGCTTGCTTCCGGGAGGTTGCTGGTGTATATAATGATAGAATTTTTATACTAAAGTGACTTGGTGAAAACATTTGCAATTTGGTCTTACTACTTTATATACTCCATTTACACTTTCTTCATTGTGATGGATTATCTGAAGTAGTGATAACATGTTTACTTTTATGATGAAAAATTGGAGTGCTATTGTAAACCAGTTTTCAACATGAATCTTCATTGCTTCTTCTTATGATAATTAAGCTTAATTTTTGAAGCCAAATTATATGACAAACACATGAGTTTGATGCCATATACTTTACTTCACGAACAAAAAAGGTGACAATTAATTGTTTCTTTGAAATGCAAGTGAAGGGGGTGTTGTCATAAAGAATACAAATCTAATGGTGTTCTTTCTGCCATTGTCTTTGATGCAATCACTATCACTATATCGTACAAGTTTGAAATCATTAGTTAATGAATAGAGCAAGCTAAAGTTTATTGTAACTTTAATATAGTGTAGGATCGATTAATACTTTTAGCAATCTTTAAGTGGGTAGTAGTTGGAGTTTTCATATAGCTACTGAGCAGTCTAATAGCATAACCAATTTAAAGCCTTGTGTACGTTAGGTAGCACAAACTTCCAACCAATCTCTAGAAAAATATTAGATCAACTCTTTCTCATTCATCATACTTTGATAGCTTGTCTCCACATTCAATAAAAGTATTTATGGGTCTATTATATATTGTCCATCTTGAGTTTGTTCAATATTTTTTCTTACATAAAGTTCTTGTGGGATAAAAATTCTATTTTTTCATTAGGTGAATATCAAGTCTTGGACGTACAAAAAAATAATCAATATAACTTATTCTCACTATAGGAAAGTAAGCTTTTTTCGGGGAAAAAAAAAAAACTGCCGCAAAACAAGCAACATTCTCCACTAAATATACTTTGCGGTAGATTTGAAAGTCATGTCGGAAAAATATTTATGTCAGACATAATTTGTCGTAAATATTTTGCAGTGGATTTTGAGCCCCAAAAACGACATCCTTGTTGTATTTTGAGCCCCAAATATTTACAAATATTTGGCTGAAATTTTTTCGTAAATTGGTGGCGAAAATTCTGTAGCAAAAGTCATCCAAATTTTCTCTCCTTCCGAACGTAGTCACCTGATGACTATGATTCTTCCGACCTTCGTCGCGCACAAACTACTGTCCCCTCAACCTTTTTCGCCCCCGACTACATTTCTCAGACCACCGTCACTCTAACTACAAACCCTTAAACTTTTTTCGCCCCGACTATGCTCCTTTTTTCACCTTCACCTTCCATATTATCCTTCAACTTCATCTTGGTAGCCCAACTATAGTCCTTCAACCAGCATCACACATAAATGGTCCGTTCAACCTAAGTTGCCTGTGTATGACCCATCCGAACTCCAGTGCCCGACTATGATCCTTTCGGCCTCAGTCGCCAGACTACAATCCCTTTAGCCACCATCACCTTACTACGATCCTACCAACCAAATGAACATGTCAACGCTCTCTTGAGAATAGCTCATGTCTTTGAATTCTTAAAACTCCAACCATGTAATGTGCTCTATATAATATATATTTGCTACAATAAACCAAAACCTTCTCATGAGTAAGGATGTCATTTGTAATCAACGACAAACACTAGTTGAATCATTTTAACTTGGCAAGATCCTATGATTTTTTCCCATTTGAAGATTTTTCGCATAAAAAATTAAAGTGCGTCTTATGATTGCTGCACCTCCTTCTCTTATCTGTGTGTGTGATGAATATTCATAAAAGCTACCACAACAATACTCATGTTAAATTAAGTATCCTCAATGGAAGTGAATTATCATTAAAAAAAAAAAGCTTAGTGAACGTATAAAGATTCACTCGCGGCTCAACTTTCTATATATCCATTGGGAGCACATGTTTCACGTTATATTAAAAAGACTGCGACTGCGTAAAAAATCACGTGCTTAAAACTAATTATTTGACGTTGCATTCTCGCAAAACTTCACGAACTTTTCCGCATTCATTCGCGGCTCTTTTACATCCTCAAGCAGCCTTTTTTTTTCCAAATTTGATTTTTTTGAAGAAAAATGTGCAGACATTAACACCGAAAATCTAACAAAGTCATCAACTTACGAAATCTTTCTGCCGACAAACCAAATCCAATTAAAAATCTCTTTTTTACCAAATAATGCGCGCCTATATATAAACCAGCAGAGCCATTGATCTCTCCCCAACACAGTAAAAGAGCAGACTCATTCTTTCTCTCTCTCTCTCTCTCCCTTTTTTTTTTTTCCTTATTTCTCATCTCTAAGTTCTCCGGCAATGGTGGACGTGATTGCCTTCCTTATTGTTCTGACTTCCGTGCTCTTACTTGTCCTTTTGATCAAGCTTCTATTTCCAGCTGCTAATAAAACATCCTCCTCATACGGCCCCAAGTCCTACCCTCTCATAGGCTGTCTCATCCCTTTCTACCGCAACCGCCACCGCCTTCTACATTGGTACACCGACCTCCTTGCCAACTCTCCGTCGAGCACCATCACCCTCTCCCGCCTAGGTGCCCGCCGCACCATCGTTACCGCCAATCCCTGCAATGTCGAGCACATCCTCAGCACCAACTTCCACAACTACCCCAAAGGCAAGCCTTTCACCGACATCCTTGGCGATCTCCTCGGTCGCGGCATCTTCAACTCCGACGGCCATCTCTGGCTTTCCCAACGCAAAGTTGCCAGTCATGCTTTCACCCTCCGCTCTCTCCGCGACCTCATCAACCACATCCTCCGCCCAGAGATATCCACTCACTTCCTCCCAAACCTTGTAGCTGATGGAAGAACTGTCGTCGACTTACAAAACCTCCTCCGCGGGCTATCTTTCCGCGTCATATGCCGAGTGTTCCTCGGCCGGCCATCCACCGCTCATTTACAGTTGGCAGAGGCTCTAGATGTCGCATCTGAAATAAGTGCGGGGAGGGGGTCAGCACCATTAGCTTTCTTGTGGAAGGCCAAACGAGCTCTTGGATTTGGTTCGGAGAGGCGCCTCCGCGAGGCCGTCGATCTCATTCATCGCTTAGTGATTGACATTATCCTGAAAACCAGAGAAATGAATAATCCGCCAAATAGTTTTCTCTCACGTCTTCTTGAAATGGGAATTCATGGAGAAGATGAGGAGATCAGAGATATGGTCATAAGCTTTCTTATGGCGGGGAGGGACACAACCTCCTCGGCACTAACATGGTTCTTTTGGCTAGTTTCAACCCATCCGGATGTAGAAGAGAAAATAATCAATGAGATCAATAACAAGTTGATTAGGAGTGAGGAAGAGATGAGCTACGAGAGTTTGAAAAAGCTGAGCTACTTGGAGGCGAGCTTGATGGAGAGTATGAGGCTGTATCCACCAGTGGCATGGGACTCCAAGCATGCAGAAGGGGACGACGTTCTTCCAGACGGTACGACGATAAGAAAAGGAGATAGAATAATGTACTTTCCTTACGGAATGGGGAGAACGGAGGCATTATGGGGGAAGGATTGGAAGGAGTTTCGGCCGGAGAGATGGGTGGCGCCCGGTGGTGGCGGGGTTGTGAGGATGTCGCCGTATAAATTTCCGGTTTTTCAAGCGGGGCCGAGGGTGTGTTTGGGGAAGGAGATGGCGATGATTCAGATGAAGTTCATGGCGGCAACATTCTTGCGGCGGTTCGAGTTGAGGTGGGTGGGCAAGGAGGCGCCGGTGATGGTGCCTCTGTTGACCGCGCATATGGCTGGAGGGCTGCCGGTGGTGATTGGGGAGAGGGAGAGGGGTGGTCGTGCGCCATCTCTATCCCTTGCAATATGATTTCTTCTTCTATATTGTAAAATATATTATTGTTTTATTTTATAATATTATAAGGTTGGTTTCCATTAAAAATATTTTCAATTAATTATTTTTCTTTGATAGATATTAAAAATATCATTCTTGGTCTCTATATTATCATACTAAATAAAATTATTTGAAAATTAAGTAGAAAATATAGCTATGAAAAAGTTACATGAAATGATAACTTATCCTTTGATTTACAATCTATCATCTAGAATGATCGTCAATATCCAATAAAATGTTCTTCTATGCACTTGCCCCCAGATTAATCTGGCTTGAGTCCATTCAATTGTGATTGACCGACTCCTCCTCTCAGGCAGGGGTGTCAAAGCAGGGTTAATGGGTTTGAGCTCGAATCAAGTCAATCCAAACATGACCCATTAAATTAACGAGTAAAAAAAAAAAAAATCTGAATCTGACTCGCTAGCATCTTGTAGATGACTCAAATTCGACATGTTAATCTATTTTGATATATATATATATATATATTATAATTTATTAACTATAACATTTATAATATTGAATAAAAAATAAGAAGGTTACATCAAAAAATAAAAACATACAAAGAAAAAAGATATTAATTATGTCATCTTTGGTTCAAAAGTGTGTTTGATGACCAACTTAAACCTAATGCATCTAATAAACGGGTTGAAAAACCCAACTCGAATCAATCCATTTATTAAACAAGTAAACCCGAACCCGGATTATTTTGGTTAAATTTAGGTTGGGTCATATATTGATATCCCTACCGTCAGGTATGAGGACTGGTCATACTCAAATACTTTGGCAAACTAAAATTTGTCTTCTCCTAAATCAAATAGAAAGTAACCATACAATAAGGGGGATTTAAATACATATTTTTAACATAAGAAAATGAAGGATAAGCTAACCATAATAAGTATTTCATTCAAATAAGATCAAATTTTTATTTGATGCAACTTTTTCATAGCTTAGTAATCTATGTAAGATGTGAATGATATGCCAAAATTAGTTCTTCTTTCCACACATTGATGAGGAAAGGAAAGAGGACGAGGAGAGCTATCAACATCTCAATTGCAAGAAAGCATAAGATTGCTCAATAATAAACTCCTCTTTTCGGTGGGCTCGTATTTTTTTGGCTTTTTCATGTAAGAATTGAAAATAATGAGACAAACTAAGCCATATTTGGAGGAGCATATCCCATCCTTCTTTGCATTGGCATCCTAAACTTCCTCTCCTCATTTTCATTAATGAAAAAAATAAAAAATTATTTTATATGATCTGTTTGTAATATCTAAAATTGAAGAAATACACCCACCATTTTTTTTTCTTTTGGATAAATTATATAAAAAATTTTCGTTCAAATCAAAATACTCATAATTTGGACTATTGGCGCTATAATTAAAACTTATCATTATCTATTTGAATGTTAAAATTATGAAAAAGGGGAAATGCAATCATAGCTATTAAAAATATTAAAAAATAAATTATAATTTCTCTTAAATTTGGGTTGACTAAAAATTGATTTGAAACACTTTGCTTTAGCTCAAAATTATTTTTAATTTTGATTTAAACGACTAAATGATTTATTAAAAAACTTAACATATATCTTAAATATAATTTTAAATATTCAATATATAAATCAATTTATTTTTTGATTAACTATTCCTTTTTTCAGTTTTATCCATCGATATTAGAGTATGTATTATTATTATTTATATTGTAATGATAGATAATTTATGCAATTAATTGTAAATTGTAAAAAGTTATTAGTTTTTAAAGTTATCATATAACACAGAATTCTTAAAATAATAAAAATATTTATTTTTGTAAGATTTGATGCATTGAGAAAACAAAAAGAAGCCAAAATGATATATTTTTCTCTAATTTTTTATTTGTGGGAATATTTTTTATTTTATTTTTAATCAAATATCATAAACTTGATAGTTAATAAATTAGAGATATATGATAGAGATCAATTAAGCTGTCACTTTTCAATCTACAATCAGCTTTTCTTTCATATTTTAATTCATTTTCTTAAAGAAAAATGTGCAGACGCAAAACCAAATCTTTTCTGTAGACAGCCTTTGCGGCTCACAAAACCAAATCCAATTCAAAATCTTCTTTTTATCAAACGTTAATTATATATATTCAGAGGCATTTATCTCTCCCCAACACAGTAGAAGGTGGTGAGGGAACGAAGGCGACGATGGTGTAGCGGGTGGCGAGGCCGGAGAGGGTGATGGTGTTCAATGGTGAGGCAGCAAGGACGTCGGTGTAGTAATGGAGGAGGCGGCGGCGGTGGTTGCGGTGGAAAGGGATGAGACAGCCTTTGAGAGGGTGGGAGTTGGGGCTTTATGAGGGTGCTTTGGCAGCTGGAGATAGAAGCTAGCTTGATGCCTTGATCAGAAAGATAGGTAATTAAGAGGAGGGAAGTTAAAATAAGGTGGGTAGTGGCCTCCACTAGGGGTGTCAATATTTGACACGACACGAAAATCCGACTCGAACCTGACCCGAAAAATCCGGGTTGGACCCGACCCGAATGCAAAACGGGTCGGGTTCCAGAAATCGACCCGTTTGAAAAACGGGTCGGGTTCGGGTTGACCCGACGGGTTGCCGGGTCAACCCGTTTGACCCGAAACGTGCATGCCGCGCTTCGCCTGCGATGCGGCGATGCCGCGCTTCGCCTGCGCCCCGCGCTGCCGGCGCTCTG